TTGATTTTGGCTCAGATCTCACCATTGGTGGGTTCCAGCCCCGTGTCAGGATCCACGCTGACAGCACGGAACCTGCTTGGGATTCTGCATTGGGCTTGCTGCTGTCAATGTAGAACCCCTTCTGGATCCTCTGTCCCCTTCTCGTTCTCCGTCTGTCTCTCTCTCTCTCTCTCTCTCTCTCTCTCTCTCTGTCTCTCTCTCTCTCTGTCTGTCTCTCTCTGCCCTTCACTCCCTCCTCAAAATAAATAAATAAACTTAAAAAAAAATAGTATACATTTAGGGAATCCACATAGACCTGGAAATTTCAAAGACAGGTAAAACGAGATATATAAGCTATTCTGATCTAAGGGGAAGGAAATAGGGGCCTGGGACTTTAAAGGGAAGAAATGCAATTCATAGGTAGTTGAAAAAGAGCAAGTGTTTGGCAAACGAATGTTTGCTGGGCCACTCACAACCCATGGGACAAAGAGAGGACTTGGATCAGCGGCCATGCTAGGCTTCTCCCTGCCCAGCATACCTGGTTTCTATCAAAATGTCGCTATCTATGGTGATTGCTCTATTCCCGGAGCAGTTCATCTAAATTGTTTTTAGGCAGTTGTGGGGGAAGAGTTTTTCCTGAATCTGTTGGGTTTTGATTGCTTTTTAATTCAAAGTAACCTTCATGCCAAAGTGGCTCATCTTGGGGTGACCCTCCCTTGCCACTACATCTGCAAAGTGCAGTAAAATGAGTTTTACCTGGATACAGAATTGCATTGAAAAGTTGTATAATTTTCTAACACTTCCCACCCCTTCTCAACTCTCCATCAGAAGAAAGCTCGCCTTGACCAAATATTTGCTGGTTTGTATTTCCTTAGTGACACATATCGTGCCAAGCCCAAAGCCACTGGATTTGGCAAAAATCTTTAAGAACTCAGCCACCGGATGTGGTTAGGTCAGTCATGGGATGTTCCCTGGTCCTGAGTCGGGAAGGCTTGAGGTCAGGGAGCACTGAACATAGAACCAGAAAAGAATGGAGACCCTGAGATTACCTTTAGACCTTGACAGTCAGGGTCCAGGCCCTGAGACAGGGGATCACAAGGCTGAGAGGATATCACCCCATCAGCGACCATAGCTCCTCACAACTTCTAGGCCCCAGAATTCCATGATCAGATTGCCCAGAGCCCACATGTAGGGCTGCCACTAACTTCTTCCCCAGTTCTGGGCTCTATAGGTAGCCCACGCTGCCCGTGTGCATCACCGGGGACACAGTGCCAAGGGGCAGGTGCACACAGGGAAAGGGGGGTGAAGGTCCCTTGTGGTACAGATAGAGAAGGAGGCGGCCTCTTTCCCAGGCCTGCAGTGGTGCAACTGGGAGATCATACAAAGTCAATCCTGAAAAAGCTGTGTTTGCTTTAGCAACAAGGAGGCTCCAGGGAACCCTTTCTTCTTCACCTTTGCCTTCTCTTCCTTACTGACTCCATCAGCACTGAGACAAAAACCTGAAACTTAATTTTCTTCTTTCCTTGAAAGTCGTCTTTCTAGTCTTTATAACGTAAGTTCCAACGTGTCCCGTCGTTTCAAAGCAGTGTTTATCCTTTTCGTGTGCTCCTCTACGGGTTTCTTGTTATGAGTCATTGATCCTTGGTGGAAAGAATAAGGATTCTTTCCTTGATTCTCCTCTGCAGCACATACAGTTGTATGTCAGTAAAGAAGGTGCAGGGGCACTTGGGTGGCTCAGTCAGTTAAGCGTCTGACTTTGGCTCAGGCCCCAATCTCACGGTTTGTAGGTTCGAGCCCCTCGTCAGGTTCTGTGCTGACAACTCGGAGCCTGGAGCCTCCTTCAGATTCTGTGTCTCCCTCTCTCTCTGCCCCTACCTATCCCCACCGCTCTCAAAAATGAATAAACATTTCAAACAACATTTTTTTTTTAATAATGAAGTGTTCCATGGCTGTGAGGAGCCCTGACTCTTAAGGTGTGAAACCAGCCCTGGATAAGGCACAGCCTGAGCTATGAGACCCTGGCAACCCTTGAGTTTATTCCTATATCCTTCCTGTCTGAGAAAGTTAACTTGTATGTTGGGACCCACAAAATGGAGCTTTCCTTCCCTCACCCGCCACCCAAGTGGGCTGGCTCACATCACAAACCTAAACCTAAGTCAGCTTTCACACCTGTCAAGGAAAGCTAACATACACCAGTCTCACTCCTGTGACTCAGCTTTTGGCTAGCTCACCTTGCTATAGAAGATAGGACCTGCTAGCCTGTCATGCCCTTTCCTAACACTTCATACAACTTGTTCTTGCCCCGAACCCCTCAGCAAACATGTTCTGTTGTTCGTGAGGCACTGTACTCCCCCATCCATGGACTGTTTTGCCTTGAATAAAGGACATCAAACCCATTACTAATTGTCTTAGTCTTGTCATTGGACAGTTTTGGTGACAAGATGGGACTCAGAAACGGCTGCTGAAGTTCCCAGGGACCGCTCTTAGATACAGGTGAAGGTACCTACAAAGCCCTTTTGATTCTCTGCCTTTTAGGCTGCTTTCCAGGATCTCCCAAAAGCTTCTCTCAGATCGAGCTCTGTTTAATTTGTATTCTGAGCTCCTTGAGTTTGTCTTAATCCCTCCAACTCCAGATTTTCCAGGTGAGACGTAGTGAACTCACAACATTGGGTTTGTGTTGAATCTCATTTACCAGGTAAATGCCTTCAAGAGGTCCTCACAGATCTCAGAAACTGCGCAGGCAGCCACAAACAGTAAATCTAGGTGAATTAGAGAGGATTCTTTCAACCCGGAAAATCATGGATACCCCTTGGTCTAAGAAAACAAGATGGCAGCCATCAGAGGACTCACAGAGACTTGAGGCTAAGATCACAGCATAAACTGTTGGGGGACTTGGAGAAATAAATTTAGAGGAGAAATCTGGACATTTTTGACCATGTCAAAATCTAAGTAGGCCTAAGTCAGGACTATTAATAGCCACGAGGGCATCCACCACTATAAAGAAATCTTCTTGTGAAAGAAATAATAGATCTATTGCTCATGGGAGTCTGACAGCCACAGCTGCAGAATTGGTGGGCATGGGTCAACAACTTAAAAGCTGTTAGAGTGTTTGCCACCTAACTTTAAGGTCTCTGTGCTAGAATAAATTGCTCATGAAATGGGTTACATTGACAGTAGGTTACCTGCCAATCTCAAGAAAGTCTTTGTGCAACAGGGTACACTCTAAAACACCACAAAATCCCTAACTCAAGGGCACATCCCCTTACGTATTAAATTGGCTCCAAGAGACCCAAGGCTTGGCTAAAGAAATGAGGTCCCCAAGTTTCAAAGAATTAAATGTGTCACCTTTGAGCACAACTGCTTATTTTATGTCTAAGAACTGTGGTCCTGCAAGTTGTACAGATCTACAAAATGCAAAATCTTAGCAGAATTACAATGGCTATTATGGGGAATGTTCTAATTAGACACGTTCATTTCAGAAGTACATTTAAAACCTACTGAATGGGAGGAAATATTTGCAAATCATACATCTGATAAGGGTTAATATCTAAAATATATAAAGAAACCATACAACTCAATATTAAAAAAATAAATAATCCCAATAAAAATGGGCAGAAGAGGGGCACCTGGGAAGCTCAGTTGGTTAAGCATCCGACTTCAGCTCAGGTCATGATCTCATGGTCCGTGGGTTCAAGCCCCGCGTCGGGCTCTGTACTGACAGCTCAGAGCCCGGAGCCTGCTTCGGATTCTGTGTCTCCCTCTCTCTGCACCTCCCCCAGTCGCACTCTGTCTCACTCTCTCTCTCAAACGAACATTAAAAAAAATTTTTTTTAAATGAGAAGATCTGAATAGATGTTATTCAAAAAAACAAAATGAAACAAAAACAAAACATCCAGATGGCCATCAGGCATTTGAAAAGATGACCATCAAGGAAATGCAAATCAAAACCACAATGAGGTATTACCTCACACCTGTTAGAATGGCTGTTCTCAAAAAGACAAGAAATTAAGTGTTGGCAAGGATGTAGAGAAGGGGAAACCCTTATGCACTGCTGGTGGGGATGTAAATTGGTGCAGCCACTATGGAAACAGTATGGAGGTGCCTTGACAAATTAAAAATAGAATTACCATACGACCCAGCAATTTCACTTCTGGGTATTTATGCAAAGAAAACAAAGACCCCAAGTCAAAAAGATATATGCACCCCCATGTTCACTGCAGCATTATTTATGATAGCCAAACATGGAAATAACTTAAGTGTCCATCAGTGGATAAGTGGATAAAGAAAATGTGGTATATATACACAGTATTTTGAATATTACATAATATATAAATATTATTCAATATATATTGAATATTATTTAGCCATAAAAAGAGAATGAGATTTTGCCATTTGCAACAACATGAATGGACCTTGAAGGCATTATGCTAAATGAAATGTCAGACAAATACCATATGATCTCCCTTATATGTAGAATCTTAAAAAAAAAGAAAAAGAAAAAACAAGTTCATAAACACAGAGAACAGATCACTGGCTGCCAGAGGCAGGAATCAGGGATGGAATGGGTGAAGAGTACAAACTTCCCAGTTATAAAATAAGTAAGTGATGGGCATGTAATGTACAGCATGGCAACTATAGTTAATAATACTGTATTGCATGTTCGAAAGTTCCTAAAAGAGTAGATCTTAAAAGTTCCCATTACAAAAAAAATTTTTTGTAACTATGTACGATGACAGATGCTAAGTAGATGTATTGTGGTGATAATTTTGCTGTGTATCCAAATACTGAATAACTATGTTGTACACCCGAAATTAATACAATATTATATGTCAATTATACCCCAATTTTTAAAAAAGGGCAGTGGTGGTTATACTCAGACACCAGCTGCCTTTTGGCAATAAAGACATTCTGGCCCCGCTGGTCTGAGTGGGTTGAAGTCAAAATACTGCTCGGTTTTTGGTTGTTTCCTGCTTTGTAGATTGATTCATTTCATTCTACTTTCTTAAAATTTTCCTCCTACCATTTTTCAAAAATGAGAAATAAAATATTCTGTGAGATTTCTATTCTGCTTTCTTTTTTCTCTCTTTTCTTCTCTTTCAATCTGTATATTTGTCTTTTATTTTGACACTGACATTGTCCAGTGCCTCATCGGTTTACATTGTCACTTTATTCACTAACAAGGTTTTCTACCTTTTTTCAAGAATACCAATAAAATTAACCTAACTTATTCTCTTAAATAATTCTACTTAGCTTAGGGATGTTTTCAAATTAAAATAAAAATTTTCTTAATAGTGATGCTGAGACAGAGAGAATGAATCAGAGAGTGGCCAGTGATTTAAAAAACTTCTCCATTGAGGATCCGACTTCGGCCTGGGTCATAAGCCTGCGCTTTGTGGGTTCGAGCCCCATGTGGGGCTCCGTGCTGATGGGCTCAGAGTCTGGAGCCTGTTTCAGGTTCTGTGTCTCCCTTCCCTCTGCCCCTCCCCCATTCTGTTGCTCTATCTCCCAAAAATAAACATTAAAAATAAATAAATAAATAAATAAACATTAAAAAATAAAATAAAAAACTTAATCTATCTTTTGCTGAAAGTAGTAGAAAGAAACTTGGTTCAGAAAGAATCTGAATCTATAAAAGAATACACACAAATAGCTGTCAAGTCATTCTTGCTCAGTGTAGAGCAATTTCCTAGAGATCAGGAGACCTAGTTCTTAATTTTGATCTTAGTTCTATCCTTTGAAGCCTTCTAACCCAGTTGACTATATGGACTTAGAGAATCCGTTGAACCATCCTGGGGCTCAATTTCCCTATCTATAAAAGGAGACATTGGATACAGAGTAAAATCCTCTCAGGTTGTCAAATCCTAAATTAGGTCTTTACATTATTTTTCATGGCCTGAAACATGACCTTGATTACCTTTTTAATTTGATGGACGAATGTAAAATTTTGCTGTGATTAGTTTTGTATGGGGGGAAATGGCCCCTTAAGTACTGGGGAAAAATTACAAATTGTTCCCAAATCAACAACAGAATGGGGTACCTATTTTAGTTGGCATGAAGAAGTTTCCAAAAGGCTTCAAAATTCCAAAATAGCTTCATGGAAAACTCATTGCAAAAAGCTAATGAAAAATTAAAGACACAAGAGGTATCTAAAACCAAAGACCATAAGGCCGATGTGACTCCCAACTCCCCTTTATCCTCCTTTGCCTGAGTACTTACAGACTACTAATCCTCTATCTCAACTGTCTTTCTACTCTGCAGAGACTACATGACTGTAGTTAGAAGTCCGCCCAGTTAGTGGTCTTATAGGCACCCCATATCTACACTCAATGGAGGGGCCCCATAAGAGCCCTTCTCAGACTGAGAGGACTCCAAGGGATTCTCTTTTAACTGCTACCAGTTATTCCCTTACACAGCCAAGGGGAAACTCAAATTAAAATTAATGGAAAACCTTGCCAAATTCTGGTAGATACCAGGGCCACACTCTCCGCTCTATCCCCCACTTGCTCCAGACCCTATAGGCGAGATCCTGGGAAAACTGGCAGAAGTGGGCAAAGGGTGAGAATCCTTACGAGAGCCAGCTCTCTCAAACCTCTGCTGTACCCAGTGAAGAGGAAGGTAAAATTTCACATCCCTTCCCTTCCAAATTCAGACCCACTGGTTATTGATCCTTTCTCTCCCAGGAACACTGTTGCCTTCTGGTTTGTCTCGTGTTGTGTCCTGAGAACTTGGCTTGGCAAACATCACGTTGGGGGCTCCAAATATAAGACCAGACAAAAATGTGGGTCACAGCCCGCCTGCGGCTAGATTTGGCCAAACAGAAATGTGGATTTTTCTCCATTTGTGGCTAGCGTCCTCTCAACTCTTTCTGGTTCTTGGGGGAATTGTCTAAATCTTTCTTTCTTCAGGTGATCTTGGGCAGTATCTCTGGATCTCAAGAAGGTACGAACTTGTGCACCCTCTCTGAGGATGCCTCTTGCATCCAAGGGGTTGTTCAATACTGCCAGAAATATTGACATTTGTTTTGGGTGAAACCTGACAAGATATTTGAAAGGATTTTTAAATAGCTCTATGGTCAGAAATTGGCCAGATTGAAAGCTGATCATCAGAGCCTAATAGGAACTTTTTTTACATCTTCTTCCCCTAAGCTAAAATTAAGCTATGTACTCTCCCAGAAGGAAACAAAAAAAACCAAAAACCAAAAAACAAAACGAAAACAACATTCCAAGGACAAACAGCTCTAAATCGAGAACATAGTAATGTTTTGATTTCCATCCTACTTGAAGATCTTCTCTCTGATATAAAGAAGCAAACTAAAGATTAAATGTGGAGTCGGTGGGTCCACCTGTGATGTCACTCAGATGACAACCCAATCCTGAGAAATTAAAAATAACTGTCCTTATCTTACTGCATCACCTTAAGATTAAAATCAGCTCATTCAAAGCCCACCTATGCTTTTTACCAATCCCAAAACCTCCCCAATTCATCTCTAAAGGCTTGGAGATGTTATAAAATTCTGAGTTTAGGGAACAAAATCCTTCTTGGAGGGGCTTGTGTTATTTCCCTGTGCCTTTGAGATGTAAATCTTCTACCCAGTTTTCTCCAGGAACTGAGGACCATCTTTTTGAAATGCAAACTTCAGGGAGGTAATTCTTATGGGAAGGAAAAAAAGAGAGAAGAAAAGGAAAAGGCAATTTGGAAACTTGGCAAATGAAAAATCCTTATAAAGTTGTAGCCATCTGAGCAAATAAGCTTAATTTATTCTATTTGCTAGGAACACAATTTGGATCCAACCGTTGTTTTATAAATTAGTGAGTTTTACATTATCGTACCTGTCTCAGGGTTAAAAATTTAAAACAAGGCTATCAGATCTATTTTCATTTGCCTACTTATGTATGTCTATGTATGTATATTATAAACATGTGATTTTTCTTCTACCCGGTATTGTCAAAGTTAATTTGCAAAAAAAATAAAAAAATAAAAAAATAAAAAAATAAAAAAAAAAAAAGTTAATTTGCAAAGAATTCTATTTGATTAGCTTAAAGAAATTAAACATTTGTATAAATTAAGTATACACTCAGGGCACCAGGGTGGCTTAGTCAGTTAAGCTCAGGTCTTGGTCTCAGAGTCATGAGTTCAAGCCCCACGTTGGGCTTTGAAAGGGCGGGCCTACGCCAGCCGACTCCATCTTGTTCTGTGTCCTTCACCTTGACCACACCTCCTCCCCTTGAGTAACCCCCCCTCACCTGCCTAACAGGACTCGGACCCTTCCCCAGGACCCTTCCCCAGCCAATCGGCTGAGGCCATAGCCATTACCTCACCAACTGCCCCCAGGCCCCAATAAAACCTTTGTCCTTTTGAAACTCACTCTCTTTCCCTGGTATCTCACTGCTGCGTCAGTGCAGGTAGGGGATTGAGCTCCAGCTAGCTCGAATAAAGGCTCTTTGCTTTTGCATCGGACTCGGCTCCCTAGTGGTCTTTGGGGATCACGAATTCTGGGCATAACATTTGGGGGCTCGGCCCGGGATCCCCAAGAACCCCGAGGGACCCCCGACCCGGAGAGCCTGACTGGCCACAGTTAGTGTCTGTTTGTTCTGTCTTTTCTGTGTGAGCTCATTTCTGGAATTCTGGTAGTGCCCGACGCGGTCTAAGTGGACACACTGGAGGACCACGGGCCGGGAGTTTCGGAAGACGTTCCGATTCTCCCTTCTGGAGGGACGTGGAATCCCCTCAAAGGTCTGAGACGAGGCGGGTCGCTCCCGCTGGTCGGCGTGAGGCCGTCGTCTTTGGAGGGACATGGAATCCCCTCATCGGTTTTGGAGGGACGTGGAATCCCCTCAAAGGTCTAAGCTAGCTTGCAGTTTTGCTTCCATGGAGTTGGAAGACTTTCTAGGGGCCCTCTGTTTGTCTGTTTTTGTGTTTCTCTGTTTTGTTCTGTCGACTTACTGGACGGACGTTATGGGACAGACTCAGACTACTCCTCTAAGTATTATGATTGATCACTTTAAGGATGTGAGGGGAAGAGCTAACAACCTCAGTGTGGAAGTCCGAAAGGGTCGGTTGCAGTTTTTTTGTTCTAGCGAGTGGCCAACTTTCAATGTCGGATGGCCACCAGAGGGGACCTTCGACCTCCCTACCATCCACCGAGTCAGGAGTATCATCTCTCGGCCTAAGGCGGGACATCTTGATCAGCTCCCTTACATTATCACTTGGCAGGACCTTGTAGAAGACCCACCCTCTTGGCTTAAGCCCTTCCTAACCCTGCTCCCTCCAGAGCCAAAACCCATTCTTGCTTTGCAGGAGACAGAGAAGAGGAAAAGTCTTACCCAGCCTTCAGCACCCCTCTACCCTGTCCTACAGGGGGGTACTGAAGAAGAATTAATTTTTCCTCCCCTGTATAACCCCTCTAGGATGCCGGAAGAACACCATCCTCCCCCTCCGGGGGAGGCAGACGCTGTTCTGAGAGCGGGAGGCGGAAACGCTCCAGGGGGAAGCCCGCCCTTTAGCAGACAAAGGGCTCAGAGGGGGCAATCCGCCTCTGCCGCCGACTCCACTATTCTGCCCCTGCGAGCCACCGGACCCCCAAACACGGAGGGGAATCAGCCCCATCACTATTGGCCTTTCGCCACTAGTGACCTCTACAATTGGAAAGCTCAGAATCCTAAGTTTTCCGAGAAACCGGCAGGACTTATTGATTTATTAGACTCTGTTCTTTTTACCCATCAGCCCACGTGGGATGATTGCCAGCAGCTTTTGCAGGTCCTGTTCACGACTGAAGAAAGAGAAAGAATCCTCAGTGGGGCCCGAAAACTAGTTCCAGGCGCAGATGGGAATCCCACCACCAACCAGGCTCAGATAGATGCCTCCTTCCCCTTAACTCGGCCCCAGTGGGATTTCAACACGGCAGAAGGTAAGGAGAGGCTCCGGGTCTACCGCCAGACTCTAATGGGGGGTCTCCGAATGGCTGCTAGAAAGCCAACCAATTTGGCCAAGGTAGGAAATGTACAACAGGGAAAAGATGAATCTCCGGCTGCCTTTTTAGAACGGATCATGGAGGCATTCCGTACCTATACCCCCATGGATCCAGAGGCTCCGGAAAGCAAGGCAGCTGTTATCATGGCCTTTGTAAACCAATCGGCCATAGACATTAGGAGAAAATTACAGAAAATAGATAGACTAGGAGAAAAAAGTCTGCAGGACTTACTGGTGGTAGCCGAAAAGGTATATAATAACCGGGAGCCTCCCGAGGACAAGCAGGCTCACGCCATGGCGGCTGCCAGCAGTAAGCAGACTCGAGACCTGGCCAGAATACTACTAGCTACCACTGCTGACTTCCCCAAGGAATGAGACCGCTGTCTCCGGCAGCTGGCAGACGACACAAGAAAAGGTAAAAGCACCAAGGGGGGGAAGCAGAGGCTGCAGAAGGATCAGTGCGCATACTGCAAGGAGATAGGGCATTGGGCCCGAGATTGTCCAAAAAGAGCTGGCGGGAAGGGAAGCAAGACTGATCGAGTAAAAGTCCTAGAGCTGGATGAACTAAGTGATTAGGGGAGTCAGGGTTCGGACCCTCTCCCCGAACCCAGGGTAACTCTTAAAGTGGAGGGGACCCCTATTGACTTCCTTGTCAACACCGGAGCACAACATTCGGTCCTCCGCACCCCACAAGGAAAACTAGCCAGCAAGAAGTCCTGGGTACAAGGGGCAACTGGTATGAGCCAGTATTCATGGACTACCCAAAGAACGGTAGATTTGGGAATGGGCCGGGTATCCCACTCCTTTATGGTAATACCAGAATGCCCCTACCCGCTGTTAGGACGGGACTTACTGACCAAGATTGGAGCTCAGATAACTTTCAGACAAGGGGGGGCCTCAGGTCACCGATGGCAAGGGCCACCCCATCCAGGTCCTGACCATGAAACTGGAGGATGAATACCTCCTCCACCAGGAGGCGCTCCCGAGAGAGGATAATATAGACAGATGGCTACGAGAATTCCCCTCGGTTTGGGCAGAGACAGGGGGGATGGGACTAGCCGCTCACAGGACCCCAGTCCTGGTAGAGCTCAAGCCAGGAGAGAGTCCGGTAAGGATCAAACAATACCCCATGTCTCAGGAGGCCCGGAAGGGGATCCAGCCACATATCCGGAGACTACGAAGCCTAGGGGTACTAGTTCCTTGCCAGTCTGCCTGGAACACCCCCTTACTGCCGGTCAAAAAGCCTCACACAAATGACTACCGACCGGTACAAGACCTCCGGGAAGTAAATAAGAGGGTCGTGGACATACACCCAACTGTTCCCAACCCATATACTCTCTTGAGCTCCTTGGCGCCCTCCAGGGTCTGGTATACTGTACTAGATTTAAAGGACGCCTTCTTCAGTCTGCCGTTGGCACCCCAGAGCCAACCCTTGTTCGCCTTCGAGTGGCATGATCCGGAGGAGGGCTACAGTGGGCAACTCACCTGGACACGGCTACCTCAGGGATTCAAAAATTCACCTTCTTCGATGAGGCACTACACGAGGACCTGGGTGAGTACAGAAGGGAGCACCCTGGCCTCACCCTTCTACAGTATGTAGATGACATCCTGATTGCTGCGGACACGGCCAAAGACTGTGAGCGAGGGACCCAGGACCTGCTGGCTACCCTGGGGGCCTTAGGATACCGGGCATCCGCGAAGAAGGCTCAGATATGCAGGAAGAGGGTAAGTTACCTGGGATATATCCTGGAGGGCGGACAGCGGTGGTTATCAGAAGCCAGAAAAGAAACTGTCCTAAAGATCCCTACTCCCACCTCCCGAAGAGAAGTGAGGGAATTCCTAGGATCAGCCGGCTACTGCCGCCTCTGTGTTCCAGGTTTTGCTGAGATTGCCAGGCCCCTATATGAAGCTACCAAAGAGGGGAAAACATTTAAATGGGCTGAAAAAGAAGAAACTGCCTTTAATCAGTTAAAAAAGCCCTCCTAAGTGCCCCAGCCCTGGGCCTACCAGACATTACAAAGCCCTTCCACCTCTTTGTAGACGAACATAAGGGAATAGCAAAAGGGGTTCTAACTCAAGCCTTAGGCCCCTGGAACCGTCCAGTGGCTTACCTGTCTAAGAAACTAGACCCAGTGGCTGCCAGCTGGCCGCCATACCTAAGAATTATTGCGGCGACAGCACTCCTAGTCAAGGATGCAGACAAGCTGACCCTAGGACAGGAGATCTGGATCACGACCCCACACGCCATTGAAGGGGTCCTAAAACAGCCTCCGGATAGATGGATGAGCAATACACGTATGACTCATTACCAGAGTCTCCTACTCAACCCTCCACGAGTGCGGTTCCACCCCAGTGCAGCCCTCAATCCTGCAACCCTGCTGCCCGACCCTGACCTAGGTGCTCCATTACATGACTGTGCGGGAATCCTGGAACAAGTACATGGGTTCCGGACGGACCTGACTGACCAGCCCCTCCCCGATGCTGAGGCTACTTGGTTCACTGATGGCAGCAGCTTTGTGCGAGACGGACACAGGTATGCGGGTGCAGCGGTGGTCACCGAAACGGACACCGTATGGGCGGAGGCTCTACCCTCTGGAACGTCAGCCCAGCGAGCAGAGCTCATAGCCCTCACCAAGGCGCTGATGCTGGGAGCTGGAAAACGGCTTAACATCTACACAGACAGCCGTTATGCATTTGCCACAGCTCATATTCATGGGGCAATTTATCAGGAGAGGGGGTTACTGACGGCAGAAGGACGGACTATAAAAAATAAGCAGGAGATACTTAACCTGCTTACAGCCTTATGGCTTCCTGCCAAGCTAGCCATTATCCACTGCCAAGGGCACCAAAAAGCTGATAACCCAGTAGCTAGAGGTAATCGGAAGGCTGACCAGGCAGCCAAGGCAGTAGCCCTTACTCCAGTCCCCACCATGACCATACAACTACCAGACCCGGGAGACCCAGTTTTACCAGACCAGCCCAAATACTCCCAGGAGGAGTTACAGCGGATCAAGAAACTCCCAATGGCCCAGGAGATAAAGGGATGGTGGTATACACATAACAAGGAGCTCGTGTTGCCAGACCAGCTCGGAGTCTCAATATTAGAGCACATGCATTGGTCTACTCACATGGGGGCCCGAAAATTAAAAGACTTAATCCAACATGCCGGAATTAGGATTCACCAACAGGACACCAAAATAGAGCAAGTTGTATCTGCCTGCAAGACCTGCCAACTCACCAACGCGAGGGCCACATCAAATAAAAAAGGAACCAGGCTCAGAGGCACCAGACCGGGAGCCCAATGGAAAGTCGACTTCACTGAAGTCAAACCAGGAAAGTATGGTTTTAAACATCTTTTAGTATTTACAGACACCTTCTCTGGCTGGGTGGAGGCATACCCAACCAAGCATGAAACGGCTCAGACGGTGGCTAAGAAGCTACTAGAAGACATCTTACCCAGGTATGGTTTTCCTGCCATGGTAGGATCAGACAATGGACCAGCTTTTATCTCGCAGGTAACACAGGCAGTAGCCAAGGCGGTGGGGGCAAACTGGAAATTACATTGTGCTTATAGGCCCCAGAGCTCAGGACAGGTAGAAAGAATGAATAGAACCCTAAAAGAGACCCTTACCAAATTAACCATGGAGACTGGCGGGGACTGGGTGACTCTCCTACCGTACGCCCTTTACCGGGTTAGAAATACTCCTTACACTCTGAGTTTTACTCCCTACGAGATCATGTTTGGCAGGCCACCCCCTGTTATTCCCAGCCTTCGAGCTGAACTTAGTGCTGAGTTTAAAGATCAAGAACTTTTTCTTTCCTTGAGCGGGCTCCAGAGGGCGCACGAGGACATTTGGCCGCGCCTCCGTGCCATCTACGAGGCTGGCCCGATCCCGACACCTCATCAGTACAGGCCGGAGACTGGGTCTACGTCAAGAGGCACCACCGAGAGACTCTCGAGCCTCGCTGGAAGGGACCCTACATCAAGGTGTTGACAACCCCCACCGCTCTCAAGGTAGACGGCATCGCGACCTGGGTTCATCACACCCACGCTCAGCCAGCGGACCCCTCCTCGATCCGGAAGGACGTTGTCATGCGATGGGCCATCAGTCGGGACCAACACAACCCGCTCAAGCTCAAGCTACAGCGCATTTGACCTACCTAATATTGGTAACTCTGTTAACTCTGCTTCTCATTGCTCATGCTGCCGGGAGTCCCCACGCCCCCAAAACATCACCTGGCAGATCATAGACACCAGCTCGGGGACAATACTTAATCAGACGTCCCAGAGCCACCCCAGGGACACTTGGTTCCCAGAACTTTGCGTAAACCTCCAAACTCTGTTCCCCTTGTCACCATAAATGCAGCCGGTCCCATGATTGGGTCCCTAAGCTACATGACAAGGGGGGAATGAAAGGGCGGGCCTACGCCAGCCGACTCCATCTTGTTCTGTGTCCTTCACCTTGACCACACCTCCTCCCCTTGAGTAACCCCCCCTCACCTGCCTAACAGGACTCGGACCCTTCCCCAGCCAATCGGCTGAGGCCATAGCCATTACCTCACCAACTGCCCCCAGGCCCCAATAAAACCTTTGTGTTTTTGAAACTCGCTCTCTCTCCGGTATCTCACTGCTGCCTCGGTGCAGGTAGGGGATTGAGCTCGAGCTAGCTCGAATAAAGGCTCTTTGCTTTTGCATCGGACTCGGCTCCCTAGTGGTCTTTGGGGATCACGAATTCTGGGCATAACAGCTTCACAGTGGGCATGAAGTCTACTTAAAAAAAAAAAATCAAGTATACTCTTAGAAATGTAGAAACTAATTCCAATGTTCAAGTTCACATGCTCTAGTATAATCTTCAGTAAATAAGAGCTAGTTTGTTAGTTTAATTAAAACAGGCATGTCTTTAGAGCTATCAATATTAAATATAATCCTGCATGATACTTTTATTGTAGGTTAACTAACAAATAAGGTCATGTTATCTCTGTTACAAAATTTGTCAGCAAGAAAGATGAGTTAAAGTGTTTAGCTGTTTAATGTCTCATGAGTCTTTCATGAGTAATCTAAACATAACTGTTAAGAACAAGTAAATCAAATAGATATAAGGAAGATACAAAGTTTATAAACTTTTCAGCAATAATTATGCTCTTGGGATGTCTACTTTAAAAATATGGTAACTTGAAACCTTAGTTATACTGAAATAAATAATTAAAAAAATTTTTTTTAATGTTTGTTTATTTTTGAGAGAGACAGAGAGAGAAAGAGCCTGAGCAGGGGTAGGGCAGAAAGAGAGGGAGACACAGAATCTGAAGCAGGCTCCAGGCTCTGAGCTGTCAGCACAGAGCCCAATGTGGGGTTCAAACTCACGAACACCAAGATCATGACCTGAGCCGAAGTTGGACGCTTAACCGACTGAGCCACCCGGGCACCTCTATACTGAAATAAGTTAAATAATGAATATTCATTGAATATCTAGATCATTTCCACATAAGATAAAATACTGAAACATTAATTACAAAACATAGGTTTATCCACTTTTTGGTTTCCTTTTACAGAGGAACTAAAGATATTTGAGTCTATTCATACACATGTTCTACGCCACATTGAAAAATTTACTACCAGAATGTACTTCTAGAAATTTTATATATATCAATTTGCCAATCCACAGAATTGTGGTTTGACGGTCTACAAGTGCTTACTTTCTGGTTTTCACTAGAAATTAATGATTCTAAGGGTTAAGAGTTCTCATCATTATATGTAATTAAAACTACTAGAAAAAATAAAGTTATCAACTTTGTGCAAGGAAAGTAAGATGTGTTTTTGGTAAGAAAATGTCTGAGGTATGGGTATGTGTTTTTTGTTAAGGGGAAAAGAGAGTAATTTTGTGCTAAAGTAAAATTACTGATCCAGAATGAGAAAAAGAGGGGAAAATGAAGACAAACTTGAATGGATATTAAAAATAAACTGTAAAGTATTTACGAGAAAGGAATCTTGGGAAAGGAATGCTAGGTGTGGCTAAGCTGGCTAAGGTTGGAATGGATTTATGTAAGTTTTTAAAAACGAGTTTAATATAAAAAGTGTACCGGAACAAAATTAGAATTTGGTTTTCTCTCTGTTAAAAGGACAAAGTTCTTGAATTATTGAACTATTGAACTATTGGTCTGTTCTGCATAAGAGATTGTGAAAGTTTTGGTTTTTTTTAACCTTTTGAGTAATCTACTTGGACAACAAAGATTTTGTGTCTTAGCAAAATAATTGACCGGGTTTCATATTGTCTTTCTTAGGTAGGATTACTTAACAAAACCCAATCTTCTCAATATTAAAGGAGCTGAGTTTTGTTCATCACTATGGAACCTTCTGTATTTGCCTCTAACATCTTCTACTGTCACTTTGATTAAATAGGCAATTAAGTATTACTTTCTAATGATCTGTGATCCTATTTAGTCAAATGTTCAAACCTTCTGCCATTTGATAGCTTCGCCAAACCAAATTCTGAATGGAGTCTTTCGACCTCAAAGTAACTTTGAGATATCCCAGAGAGTCCCTGGAAAATGTCAAAGGATTTGCCTCTCACCTTGTAAAGGAGAGATGTCAAACTAATTAAATTTATTTGGTATGTTAAATTTCATTGGTAGCATTGTCAAATAAGAAGTGATGATAAACTTTAGGTTACATGCGTTTGGATATATGTTCCTAATATGGGTATTCCAAAAATTGGTTAAAGTCTAGAAATTTGT